GAGATAGACAGACAGATAGGTGACAACCCTTAATCAGATCCTTACTTCCCATTTCCCCAGGGATTCTAACTATTTGGATGTCAACATCAGTGTGGCTTTACCCTTTCTAGTCAGACCTCCTTATGTCAGCCTTTCACTATCTGTTCATGGCAGTGAATGGTCAAACTTCCCCTGAGTGGCCAGTAGGAGGTGGTGCCCCTGCATACGTCCCTCCCTACCTTACTCCTTGGGGGCAGCTGGACCTGGGCAGGAGAGACCACACAGAACTGACTCACGGAATTGAAACAGGAGAGTAAGAAAGCATCCTTAGTTATACCCTTCCTTCCTTCCTTCCTGGTTTGATTGAGGGCCAAGAAAGCTGGAGCTGGTCTGTGGCACAATGATGCATGAGATCAGACTTGAGTTTGCGGGAAGAAGGGGCCCAGGCAGCCGGGTTATACCAACAATCTGTGATAGTTTTGACGTTGTCTCTGTTGGTCTGTTTTTCCCCTGGGGAAGAAAAATATGTAGATATTTTCTGGTGGTGAGACAGGGTGGAGGGAGAGCTGGGTGTGCTGTCACTCATGACACTGGACTGCTAATATCAGCATCAGCCTTGTTATGCCCGCAGGATGGTAGTCATGGCAAGCCCTGGACCATGGAGCAGGCCCCCTTTTCTGGCCACTGTCTGCAATCCTTGTTCAGCTTTTACAAGCTGGAAAAAAGCACACGCAGTGGGAGAGATTCAGATGGAACAGCTCTCACGTGCACAGCCATTCCCAGAGCCACATGGACTGGCCCAGCCCCCGTGGATGCCAAAGTCCACGGAGGCTCAAATTCCTCCTACAAAATGGGGTAGTGCTGGCATAGGGCCTTCCCACTCCTCCCACACACTTAGATGCTCTGTGTTGCTTATGACACCAAGAACAATTTGAGTGCCGTGCAGACAGTCATGGTACTGAATAGGAGATGGTGTTGACAAGAGGTCTGCTTGAGTCTAGTACAGATACAGACAGTTCTCAGAGTTTCTGATTTGCATTGGCTGAATTCATGGTGCAGAACCTGTGGCCAAAAAGAGCTGACACTAGAGAAGAAATTTGAAATCACACAAAGGCTGATTCCTTCCTCTGGCTTTGAATGATCCAGTGAACTGAAACCTCAGGGTCCACCCATGTCCCTGCTCTGGGACCAGCAGCTGCTCTGGCAGTGTCAAGGGGTGGTGGACAGTGAGGGAGCAGCTGCTGTAGAGCCTTCGCCTGTCACCTGTCCCTTCTCGAGACACCACAGCCGAGGCCCCCATCAATGTGAGGCTGCTCCTTGCAGAGGGGGTGGAGAGCGCACCCCAGGGGTGCCAGGGGCCAGGTACAGCGTGCTCTGTGGATTCCTGGTTGTAGCTCTCAGACCTGCTGCCCACTCAGATCAGACTGCCTATCCACAGGAAACTAAGAGCAGCACAGCCCAGTAAGAAAGAGGCCATGTCCTCCTGAGTCAGAGGCCACCTCTGGGAAGAAAGCAAAGGCATCCTGCATTGACTTAAAAGGGCAAAACAATAAAGGACCCCTGCTGGCAGCTGACAGTGCTCTCCTCTGCACCTGGCTTCCGGCCAGAGTCATGCAGAAGCTCCGGGGAGGCCTCAGCACTGAGGTCTGGTCCCTCACAGGCCCCTCAGTGGGCCAGCTTGCAGAGGATGCCTCAGGACATAAACCCCAGGACTGGCATCATGATGGCCAGGTGAGGAAGGGTGTACAGAGAGGTCAGGTAACTTGTCCAAAGACACACAGCCAGATCACAACAGGCTTAGACTAGAACCCAAGACTCCTGAAGGCCGAGCAGACGAGACCGCAGCAACTGCTCACGGCAAAGTGAACAGCTAGATTGCACAGGAAGCCAAATTAGACACTGGAAACCAGTCATTGAGGCCTGCTGGCATCTCCGAGGCTACCCCGGGGCAGTGACATCACATCACAGTGCTAGGCCCCTCTGATCCCCCACAGAAATTACTTCCTGTTTAACAGATGCAGAAACTGAGGCGGAAGAGTGTACGATTCTTGCCCAAGACCACACAGATACCAAGGAGAAATTCCAAGATGATCCTTTTCCCTTCTGCCCCCAGAGTCCAGGCCTTGATTCATCGTGACACTGACTTTTCTCAAAAGAAGGGAGGAGGCACAGACAGTCCTCACTTACATTAAATCACCATATACTCAGGTGCTAAAAGAAAGTGCCTTCTTGATGATGGTGGAGACAAAATGTAGTAAGACTCTTGGAGAGAGGCAAATGCATGACTAGGCTGGCTGGGAGCACTGCGGCTGGAAGAGCTGTGTTCGGTGGGGGTGGGGTTACATGTGTGTTTTCTATGCGCTAAGGCTTTCTTTGTGTCTTTTCCTGACATTTACTGGAAAGACAGAATTCTCCTAGAAGCCAGGCTAACAGAATAGAGCCTGTTTTTTCTAAACATTGGAATTGAAAGATTTATTCAAGTTGGCTGGACACTGTCACTGCACACTTGGTGGGGCTGGATTGCAGAAGGTCTAATTAGTCAGGGAACGGAGGGGAAATCCAAGATGCCTGCTGGCCAGGGCTGTGTTCACTCACTACCCTTTACCTTTGGCTTGCTCAGCAGCCGGAAGAGAAACGATACAGGCATTGCAGAGCAAGGAGCAAGTTCCTTGCTGAGGAAGGGCCTCGGTTCAGTTCCCAACCTAAAACTAACTTTTGTTCTGAAATACAAAGCTATTTGTACAAGGTATAACTGAAAAATATGGCAAATGTTTAAATTGTTTTGAGTTATCCCAGTAAAAGGCACAATGCCATTGACCCCCTCAGGATGCTACCCCCCAGCCCAAAAAGCTTCTTCGTCATCCTTGCCCCTTTCTGAAGCCCTCTTCTGTGAGAGTCTTCAGCTGGCAGTCATGGCTGCCTCTTCTTCTCGAATCCATTCAAAACGTTTCCATTTCCTGCTCATTGCAGCTCTGGGGAGGAGCTGGGAGTCGCAAGGTGTCACATCCGGTGGACAGGGTAAATGAGCACACACTGCAATGTTTCACCAGGCTGCCTTCCCACTGGATGCTGGGCTCTGTGGCAGCATTCACTGTGTTTTCAATCACACCTCGGAAAGGCGCTCATGACAGAGGTAGGACTGTAGAACGGCCTCCAGAGGTGGCAAGCACGATGGGATGAGTGTGTTCCGAGTAGGGGAGAGTCTGGAGGGGCTTGACGGCAGTGTGTCTTTTAATATAACCAATCTTTTAAAGTTAAACTCCCACTGTGTAGTTTGAAACCAGAAGTTCACTTTCCACATCACGTCACTGGCTTTGGTTCAAATGGAGAACAGCCGGGGCTGCAGGACACCAGTGGCACTGCGGTCCCCACACCAACTGCGGCCTGCTCAGAAGGCTGTGGTGAGGCATCCTTCCTGCACAGCTCACCTGGGGACATACCTAGTCCACCCACCGGTGCCAGGCCAGGACACTTGCATCCAGGTCCCTGCATCCAAGGACACTAAGGGAGCCATGCAGACACGGGAACGGTGACAGGGTCAAGGTGCGGGATGAGAAGTGTTCAGCGGGCACAGGAGCAGCACGGGAGTGCAAGGAAGAAGCCACAGAGTGGGCTCAAGGGGACTTTCAGAGAGGTCAATGTACACGCTGAGCTCTGGAGACTGGAACCTGGAAGGTGGAAGGCAGGGTGAAAGCGAGAGTGCTCAGGAGCGGAGCACAGTGAGGGCCTCATCACTTGCCTGTCCACAGCGCACCTCAGAAGCCAGGGATCACAGCAGCACAGCCTCTGCACGCAGCTCCTCTCCTGCTTCAGGCTTGTCTCCCTGCACCCTCTGTTCCTAATCCTGCCCAGTGACAAACTTGGGTTTCCTTACCCCAACCTTCTGAAACATCTGGGCACCAGACACTCTGTGATCAGCAGTTGGGTGTAAAGAAAGGCTCCTATCCTGCCCTGGATCCTGCAGGTCAGGCCAGCCCAGCCTCCCCAACAGTCTGGACATGTGCGAGCAGGCCCACATCATCAGTGGAACTAAACAAGAAGTGCCTAGGTGGGAGGAGCCAGGGTTCTGGAGGCCAAGAGGCCCGGCACTCCTGTGGAGCCATCAGAGGACTTGACATTGGATTGGGGGAAGATTCTGACTTCCCTTCCTGGGTGATAGCAGGGTAGAGGTTCCAGAGGGAGAGAAACCAGAAGCAAGAGTGAACACCATCTCCAAAGGCCATGGTTCCAAGGCCTCCGCCATGCACCAGACAGTGCCTCCTCTTCCCCCACCGCCCTTTCTTTTTCCTCCTCTTCTTCCTCATCTTTCTCTCTCTTCCTGGAGCAGTGTGCTTTGCTTCCTCCCTTTAGCTCAAGCCTGCCTGACAAGAGAAAACAGACAAGGAAGATGAAAGGGGAAGCCTGAACTCTAAAGAAACTAGCTGTCAAGCAGTCAGCACGGCAGGAGAGGCAGCGTGACAGATTGAGGCTCAGTCACCCCAATCAGAAGCTCCCTGGAAAGAAGGCCCACCAAGGGTCGGGCTTTCACAGGGCTGGAAAGCCAGGGGTGCTTCACAACAGTTAACAGAAGCATCAGTGTTTGTCATAGATTCCATCACCTGGCAGCAGAGAGAAGGAAATCACAGCACTCCCCAAGATCCGGCCAGGCAGGCAAAGGGAAACAGACTCACCAAAGCACCTGGGCACATGCTCGGGCTCCCTGGTGACCTTCTCCATGGCCCAGAGCAATCGCAGTGATCCTGCACAGGTCATGGCAACCCATTTAGAGTCACCAAGTTCCCGGGCACTCAGGAGAGGGACTCAAGTGGGCAGCAAAACCTCGCCTAGAGAAGCCATTCTTCCGATCTATTTATGCCGATGTAAACACTTGCCAAAGAAACAAGGCATGTGGGCATGCGCCAGCTCAGCAGGCCTCAGATGGCTGCAAAAGGCAACTGGAAAGTCACATGTCATAACAGTGGAAAGTACATATGTGGCTATTCTTAGCCTGGAATGTATACACTGTCTCCCTGCCCAGCGGCCCTTGCACAGAGCTCCAGAAAACTGTGAAAGAGCCTTCAGCATAAACAAATCCAGAACTCTCCCAGGACAAGTCATTTTCCAACGGAAGGAGAGGCCTGGGGTTTATGGTTTCGCTCAGAGCTAGAGGTGGAAACTTTCGGGGAGAACAAGACAGCCCAGGCATCAGTGGATGTCACCACAGCACAGCAAGGTAAATCCTCCTGGCACTCGGTTCTTCTGCAGGTAGGCAGTCGGCAGCCCCGGCAAGGATTGTCGTATTTTCATGGAACGTGGGTGTCACAAGTCCCCATCATATGTCTACCATATATAATATAATCTACCGCAGAAGTGTGCATGAGTACATGTACATAATGAAAAGTCCATTTCTCCCCCAGAATGTCATGCTTAGGGAATAAGTGACCCAGAAGGAGATGTTTAGATGAGATGACTAAACAACAGACATTCCAAGAATCTAGAAAATGGCTCATGCTTCTGCTGGTCATGTGGGTGGACCTGATACAGCACTTCAGCCCCTGACCATCAAGTTACTTCTAATAACTTTGGTTTATTTTTTTCCCTCACATCAGCTGAGATGCTCATTTCCCATACCTTTAAAGAACATGCAATCATACACAGAAAGAGATGTGCTGCCTTTGCAGTCTGGGTTGGGAGGGAGTGGCCTCATTTTCCAATATTTGCTCTGCCACCTCCTCAATCCCACAGACAGCCTGATGAGCAGGCACAGATGTGCTGGGTCTCACAGCTGCACAGCTCAGGCCTCCAGGACAAGCTGCTGACAAAGACTCAACACCTGTCCCCTCTCTGCCTTAGGATGGATGAGGAGTCATCAGATGGGCTGCTCTTCAAAGACCACAACTTCTGCTCCGACCTGTTGAGGCAGCTCAATGGCTTAAGACAAAGCAGGATCCTGACCGATGTGTGTGTGTGTGCAGGCAGCTGGGAGGTTCCCTGCCATCGCAACGTGCTAGCCTCCAGCAGCCCCTACTTCCGGGCCATGTTCTGCAGCAACTTCCGGGAGAGTGGTGAGGCCAAGGTGCAGCTGAAAGGCATTACCTCGCTGGCCCTAGAACAGGTGGTAGCCTACGTGTACACCGGGGAGGCACACATCGCAGCTGGGAACGTCCTCCCCCTGATGGAGGCAGCCTCCATGCTGCAGTACCCCAGGCTCTTCGAGGCCTGCTCCTCATACCTTCAGGACCAGCTGGCCCCCAGCAACTGCCTGGCCATGATCAGACTCTCAGAAGTGCTAAGCTGTGAGAGCCTCAAGAGGAAAGCCAGGGAGGTGGCCCTGACCTGCTTCCCAGAGGTGGCCGCATCAGCTGACCTGAAGGAGCTGTGTGTTCTGGAGCTGAGAGACTACTTGGGAGATGATGGCCTCTGTGGGGAGGAGGAGAAGGTCTTTGAGGCCCTCATGGCTTGGGTCCGACATGACCTCCAGGCCCGGAAGTGCTACCTGAAGGACCTATTGCAGCAGGTCCGGCTTCAGTACATCCACCCAGCCTTCTTCCATCACTTCATGGCCGGCGACACCCTCCTTCAGTCCTCACCCGCATGCCAGGCCTTCCTGGAGGCAGCCAGGAGGCAGGTTTTCTCTGTGTGTGGCGCCAGTGCCCCAGACTGCAGACCCTTGTGGCACGTCCCTCCAAGGAGCTCTTACCAAGACTTCCTCATCCTCGTGGGTGGGAGGAAGGACAGTCAGCAGACCACCAGGGATGTGCTGCTCTATAGTACCCAGACGGGTGAATGGCAGAGCCTGGCACAGCTCCCCGCCCGGCTGTACAAGGCCTCAGCAGTGACCCTGCACCGCAGCATCTATGTGTTGGGCGGCATGTCTGTCGGCACAGGCCGGTGTCCGGTCAGTCACAGTGTCTACATCTTCTCCATGAAGCTCAGCGAGTGGCGCGTGGGAGAGCCCATGCTGGCAGCCCGGTACTCCCACAGGAGCACCACCCACAAGAACTTTATCTTCGCCATCGGGGGCCTAGGGGCCGGACAGGAGCTCCTGGGCTCCATGGAGAGGTATGACAGTGTCCACAACATCTGGGAGAGTATGGCCAGCATGCCCGTTGGGGTTCTGCACCCTGCAGTCGCCGTGAAGGACCAAAGGCTCTACCTTTTTGGGGGAGAGGACATCATGCAGAACCCCGTGCGCCTTATCCAGGTAAACAGCAGGTCCCTCCTGTCGTGTAAGTGTGTGAGGGTGTGCACACACACATATGTGGGCATAGACACGTATACAAGCATGTGAGCACACATGTGCATTCCTGTACACGTGCTCATAAGTACATGCGTGCATACACACAGACAGCAATGCCTGCCCACACACGTACACAGGTGTACCTATGTACACAAGCATGTGTGCACTCAGGAAGGGTGGAGGGAGGGAAGAAAGGAGGAAGGTAATGGTTGGCAGGAATATTTTCAGCTATGAATTCTTCTTGTGTCAGACTAATATTCCCAGGCCACAAGGAGCTCATCTCCATTTGAGGGGGATAAATCATTGAATGCCAAATAACAAAGTCTTACCAGACTTCGGCAGGCACTTCTAACCCACATCACTAAAGACTAAAATTCTGAAGCCTCGCTCCGCACCTGTTACCAGATCCCCTGGAACCTAACCTCAGATCCGATGAAACAAAACCTTCTGTGTGAGCTCTGACATCTGTGCTTCAGAAGAGTCTCTGGGGGACGTCCCCGGTGCTCTGGGGTGGGAACCCGCCTTAAGTGATAGGAGACATTAACTTCACTAACAAGCTCTCTGAGGAGAAGTGTGACTAATGAACATTAAATTTCAGAACAGTGTTTTCCAACTTTATGCAAGTTTCCAGTAATCTCTGCACTCATCCGCCGTTACAAAAAGCTTGAATAATAAGCTTATCTCTATGGCAATCTAGAAGACTAGGTTTGTTCATTTATAAGCCTTATGTTGAGCACTGGCCACTGCTAAGGCCCTGGGGACATAAGAGGGAAAAACAAATTTCAATGAACCCTCAGAGCACTTGCAAGAGGACTTCAGAGCAAATGCTAACTAGAAGGGAGCTCTAAGAGCACATGAGGGAATCAGAGAGAACACTGGGGTTCAGGGACCACAGAAGGAACCTGTGAGGCTGGCCGAAGCTGAGGAGCAGAGCTGCAGAGCAGAGATGGAGGTGAGGCTGAAGACTGAAACTGGAGGGGTGCTCAGAGAGCGCACAGTACAAGTGGGGCAGGGAAGCCTCTCTGCTAGATGTCCCGAAAGTCAGTGATCTGCTGGGGGTTCCATCCAAAGGCCCCAAGCACAGGGCAGCTGAAAGCAGGACAACGCAATTGCAGGACAGGGGAGCAGGAGAAGGGTGTGCGGTAAGGGCAGGACAGGTGCTGGTCCTTAGGATCTCTTTGCCCCTCCCTGGCTACCCAGAGACCTCCTCCACCTAGTCTGCTGCCGAGCCTCTCCTATCTAAATTCTGGAACATTCTTGCGGGATGGGTGTTTGTAGAGATGAGGCTGGTCTGGCAGAGCTTTCTAGGTCTTGTCAAGGAATTGGGATTGTAGCCAGACAGCGCAAGATAGGGACTGGTTAAAGGTTCTCACGTGTCAGTGAGGTCAGAGATTTGCATATTAAGGCAGTCCCTGTGGACTAGAGAGGAAAAGGGAGGAGAGTTATTGATTCTTTAAGAAGTCCAGGCAAGAAGTCACCAACCAAGTAGGCAGGTCCTTAATCTTTCCAGAATCACTGTTCCCCGTCACACTCATTTACTTGATCTGAGAGAGACATGTTCTGTTCCCCTTCAAGCGCTGACTGTACAAAAACAGATGTGACAAAGTGCTTCTATGTAAAGCTACACTCCCTCCCTCTCCTGTGACTATTTTTCAAAACAGTATCAGCAAATATGCTGATGATTTCACAATGCAAAATTGTCATCAACTTCCTAAGAGTACAATACAAAGCTCAGAAAAGATTTCACCTAGCATATCAAGAAATGCTTAGCACAACCCAACAAGCTCTTGAATCCCTTTATAATGCAGACATGGAGAGAGGGAAAAGGGTAAAAATATTAATTTGAATGCTTTTCTTATCTACCTAGTACTGGCTTTGAAATAGAAATGTTCTTCACTTGAATATAACTTAAAAATGAATGCTTGGAGCCCCTTGGGAGATTTTTGGGGTTAGTGTGCAAGCTTTCCTCCCAGAATGGTTCATCTACATACATGCATTCTGTGAAGAACCACACTGCCATGCAGTCACTGTGTGAACTGCCTGCCTGTGTCCCTGTCTACCTGGCCTTCTTTTCACTCTGTTGGCGGGTGATGTGAGGCAAATCCTTGGCCGTGATAGAGTATAGATTCCTCCCCCGGTCCAAGACCATCACTGCTCCCCTCTGCAGTCTTTCTGGGATATCGTGAGGACCCAGACCCAAAGCTGAGAGAGAACAGAAGGCCAGGAGACAATCAGTAAAATGCTCCAGCAAGATGCAACCAGGGCTTGCTTTTGTTCCAAAGGCCTGGCTTTCCGAAGAGTGTCAGCTATGTGTTCTCTGGTGAAAGCCTGAAGCTGTGCAGCCACGACTGCCCTTGGTCCTAGCGCTCAGCCACAAAGGCCTCCGCAGCCCGAAGGGCTGACAGGACCTCAAGAACTGTCTGTCTCGAAGCCTCTGTCACCCTGACATGGACGTGAGTGAGTGTGGACTGGGCTCCACCAGTGGATTCTGCTGCTCCAGTCGCTTGGGACATCTGAGCCCATCTAGTCCAGTGGTGGCCAGCCTGTGGCACATGTTTTATCTGTTTTTCTTTTAAGGCAAAAGATGTTACTGTAGAGCTGTTTTCTAAGCTGAAACCCCAATGTTCAGGTTTCACTGCAGTGCTGGCACTCTGTGATGTGAGTAGGTTCTGGGCTGTGGCTTGGGTGCTCAGTCTCTAAGGAGACTCTAACCTGAAAGACAGGAAGTATTGCATCCACCTCATAAAGTAATGGTCAGATTTGTGCTAAAATAGTCTTTGATCATACTCAAAATTATATTTTATATGGAAAAACTTTTCAGTGATAAGTGCCACGCCATCTTTCTCTGTAAATAAATGTTTTTGTTCCTTCTTTTCTCATGTGAAATCCATCCTGCTTCTCTTGTGCTAAACTTTGCCTGTGGTGAACCAGGATACATTTGATATTTGAGTTTTAAACTCCAGATATTCACAGGGCATGTTCTAGGGAATCAGGATTTGATCCACTATTTTAGAGAATGGTGAAGGAGTCTGACCTCTTGTTGGTCTTTCTTCTCGTTTTCATGCTTCCTTTTTTGCTCAGACTCTAATTCCTTTCAGGCATAAACTGTTAAAAGCCTTCCTTCTCTTGCCCCAAATTTATTCTTAGCCTATGACCCTCTTAGATGCACTGGAACATTTAGAAATTTAAACATGAACTACAAATAGAAGATTATCAGAAAAATCATTAATTTTCTAAATATCCAAATTGCTCCGCCTCTCATTAAAAGTAAAAAACTGTTCCAAGCAAGGTAGTGAATGCAGAAGCCTTGGTCCATTCTGTGGAAACACAGTCACCAATTTCAGTCACACAAAGACTGACTTCCTTCTCTCATTTCATAGTATCTTGTGTGTGGAAAGTAAGCTAGCTACATTTTAAGCACTGGACAGAAGTGGAAAGGAAAAACTCACTCCCGGTTCATCTTCGAAATGACTACTTTTGTGTTTTTAAGGATAACTGACTTTCAAACGCAGCGCGACAACTCTGTCCTCCCTCAGGTTTACCACATCTCCAGAAACACGTGGTTCCAGATGGAGACAAGGATGGTCAAGAATGTGTGTGGCCCCGCGGTCCTGCTCGGGGAGTGGATTGTCGTTGTGGGAGGTGAGGAGGTAGAGGGCAGCGGGTGGCACACGGGTGGCACCTACCGCAGAAAAGGGCACAGTGGCCTGATGGTGTTCTGCAGACCACCTCCTTGGGGGCTGCGGACAACCTTCAGAGCCCTGTGCTCCTCCCTAGACACAGGCCAAGAGGGTGCCTGATTCACAGAGTGAGTGAGCTACTGCCCAGAAGCATGGTCCGTAAGAAGTGTTCACCAGGGTTAGTAACATCCTCTCTGGGATGGCCAAGTGTGGCATGATGAAGGGCTGGTTTGGGAGGCAGAGGCCTGGGCTCAAATCCTGACTTCACCACTAACTTGCTGTACACCATTCAGCAAGTTATTCACCTCCTTATGCCTCTTTGTTTGCCTATTAGTAAAGTGAGGACCCTAAAGTACCCACCGGACAGAGCTATTGTGGGGCCTGTTCCCGAGTTCCCAGAGGCTCCTTCTTGGGATCTCCATGGCTCTGGGATGGGCATAGGAGAGCAGAAAATGCCAACAATCCTGAGTATGCTGCTGGAATGAAGGGCTCTCAACCCACAGCTGGCTTCTGTGCTGCCTTCATTTGGGGTTCAAGATGCAGGGACCAGAGTCAGGCAGACGAGCATGCCAACCCCAAGTCTGCCACACATCCAGCCAGGGCAGGAAGCCTCAGCACACCTCACCTCAGTCACCTTAGCAGTAGCTGGGGGACCCTGCCAGCACTGTCCTCCAGGCTGGGTGAGCTGCACTGTCCCGCTCCTATGTCACTCGGTTTTCAGGTTACACACGCAGGATCCTTGCTTATGACCCTCAGTCCAACAAATTTGTCAAATGTGCGGACATGAAAGACCGGAGGATGCACCACGGGGCCACGGTGATAGGGAACAAGCTGTATGTGACGGGCGGGCGACGACTGACCGCGGACTGTAGCATCGAGGACTCAGCCTCCTTTGACTGCTATGACCCCGAGACGGACACCTGGATGCCACAGGGCCAGCTGCCTCACACCCTCTTTGACCACGCCTGCCTGACTCTCCAGTGTGTACCCTCCATGTCCGCCCACTCGTGAGGGCCACAAGACTCGTCTCAGTCCGAGTGCTTCCTGTGGCGACCACAGAAACTCGGCTCCAGAGAAGAGGCAGGGATGCTCGCAGGCTGGAGGTGCCAGGGATCCTGCGGCCCTGACTCTCCCCCATCCTCCCCTCTCCCTACCTCATCTCCAGCAGGCTTCATCCTGCCGCGGAGCTCCTTTACCTGTAGCATGTGAGGAGAGTCTCAAGCTGTACATCTTCCTGGATGGGGTTCTCTCCAAGGTGGGCCAGCACTCTGGATTTCCGAGAAGCTCCCAGCTGTACAGGAGATGATTCCTGTTCTCCCCTTACCCACAGGTTCATCCTCAGGGCCCTTTTTATCCTCCATGCTTTCCTCTTGAGCTGGTCACTGTTGCCCAGCATGGGCTAGCATTCCTGGCCAGTCCTGGATCACATCGTGAGGGCAGGGCTGGGATTGGCTGTTTCCATTGCCAGCCCACCCAAACTGCAAGTCATGGGCCAGAAACCCTTCCCCACAGGAAGAAATTCTGGGCTGATAAAAAAACGCATCTTCCCAGAGCACCATGGAAATCTGGAACAAGAGTGCTGAGAGACCCATGAGGGCCCGAGAAGCAGTCAGCCCAGGTGGCAGTATGAGAACACTTTGCCATGACTGTGTTTCTCTGCCTTCCATGGATGTAATACATTGAAATTCCAAAGAAGTACGTGGAATTTAGTATCCAATGTTTGCAAAATTATCTTGCACTGCAAGATACAAAAACAGAATAAAGTTTGTTTCTGGTGCCAAGTGATGTTTTTCCACAGCCTCCAGGGAGCTATAAACCTGCAGAATTAATTTGGATTTTCAGTTTGGTAAATGTTACGAGAATTGCTCTTCCAGGGAAAGCCAACAAATTCCTTCAGTGATTACAGCAACCACTGCCCTCCCAATACCAGAGCCTGCTGTTCCTGTGGCCCCTTTATCTCCAAGGGCCTCGCACACTGGCTCAGGGTGAAGCTCAGGAATCAGCTGGAGCGCAGCCCAGCCCTCTCTGCACTGCAGGCAGCCCCTCATCACCGGCAGGGTGTCTGGACTGGCCATCCCCATCTGATTAACTGGATGGGGTTCTCTCCAAGGTGGGCAGGCACTCTGGATTTCTGAGAAGCTCCCCAGCTGTGCAGGAGACCCTCAGGCACTGGCCCTTAACAGCTTTGTGGCTGGTCCCAGTCCCATCCTGTCCCGGCCAACTCTGTCTAATCCCAGCAGTGTATGCCATGTCCTCAACCTGCCATGGAAGCATCTAGAACGAGCCTCATTCTCCTAAGCCTGGCTCCAGAGTGCTCTTGGGCCCCCTCCCTAGCCAGCTCTAGGTCCACGTCCTGGACCTCGCCTCTCTCCCTGGTTTGTATTCTGGGCACCTTGGCTTCTCATTTGGGTGGTCCAGAGACTCGCCTCAGTCTGCTCCTCCACCTGCGTGCTATCCCCCACCATGCTGGCTGCCATGCTGCTGCATTGTCCTTACACCATCTTGAGCTCTCAATCCCATCTCTCCCTGAACCTGCTTGGAAAGGTAAACCAAAGATGCTACAGTGCCCACTCCTGCACCAGCATCCTGGGCATAAGCCTCATCATTCCACGCTTCTGCTAAATGTTTTAACTCATCATGTTTTCCCAGAGCCCTCAGTCTTTTAGCTTCCAGGGCCTTTTGCCACCCAGAACCTCCATCCCACTCCTGCACACCCTGCACAGCTGTCTCCACTACAAAGAGCAGCCCTCCTTTGCTGCTCTACACCCTCCTCCCACTTGCCCCAGGGCCTATGCAAGTATGGTTGCCACTACCTCTCCTGACTCTTCACCTGACATAATTTCAGTTTATACCTTACACACTAAGTTCAAAACTAGACAAGCCAGGCATGGTGACACACACCTGTAATCCCAGCACTTAGGAAGCTGAGGCAGGAGGATCACTGTGAGTTCAAGACCAGCCTGGGCTACATAGTGAGTTCAAAACCAGCTTGAACTACATAGTGAGATCCTGTCTCCAAAAAATCAAAATAAATAAATACCACCACCACAAGGAGGTCTCCATGCACCTCACACCCACGTTTGAGTCACCTCTGCTTTTAGAACCCCACTGTCCCTGTGCTTCTCCTGAGAACCTTGCCTCATCTGTACCCACCTAGTGACTCTCTCTGGCTGATGCAGAGGTCTGTCCTGTCCTCTGCGCTCCCCAGCTGGCCTCAGCAGTGGCCACACATGTGAACTGCAGGTCCTCGATGCAGGTGGGTGACACAACCGGAACACCACTGTCCCAATCCCAAAGCGGGACTGCACTGTAACACCAGCCTGGGAAAGAGACCCGGACTGGTTGCAGGAGCTCCGGGCCTCAGTGCTGAAGAGAGCACCCCAGTCCACGGTGGAGGCCAAGGTATATTTATCCAGGGGCAGTTAAACTAAAATGTTATAAGTAAAAAAAAAAAAATGTGTATAATCTCAATAGGCAGCAAGGGAAGGGGGAAATTCAAGAGGTGCACAACTCAGCAAGAAAACCCCAACAAGAATATCCAGGGTCCCACAGGAACAGTGAGCAGGAGGATGGTAGAGGAGCCAGCAAGAACAGAGCCATGGGCGAGAAACTGAGGCAAGGAGCATGGGCAGCGGGCGCAGGTCCCAAGGAGGCTGCTGGTCCTTAGCACACAGGTGCTACCAGCCTGAGGGCAGCTGGAAAGGCCACTGGCAGACCCAGGGCAGAGGCAGACCCACCAGCGTCCCCTTCAGACCCTGCTTGGTTCCCAGCCCACAGCGTGGTGGCTGTGAAGGTGAAATGCCTTGCCCTCTTCTGCATCCAGGGCCTCACCCTCTAAAATCCCAAAGCAGGCTGAATTCACCTGCGCCACCCATAACGCAGACTGTACGTCCCAGAGGATGACCAACTGGCCTTTCTCAAACATCGCTCCCCAGGCTGTCTGACCCTACCCAGCCCGACTCACCAGGCACGCCAGGCCTGTCTTGCCACATTCTGTTCCCTCTGTGATGATGTCTTTCCCCGACCTTCAGACCAAACCTGATGACCTCCACCTCCTCTGTGGAGATTCTCCACCCTCTCTAGCCAGCCTTCCCCTCTCCACCCAATTCCCTTCACGCTGTGGCCTCACCAGCATTGAAAGCGATGCTTTTCTAGGCCCAAAGGCAGAGTCTTGGTACCCTTTGAGCTCACAGAGCACACATGCTCTGTTCTGGGCAGACAGACAGGCAGCACTCAAGGGTCTGCAGGAGCAGTGGGAGGATGTGAGAGGGATGGTCCTGACACCATTTCCAGGCCAGGATGCAAGACCAGGAAACAGATGGCCTCTAGACGGGGCCTCCATCAGGCAGGAGCCCAGGACACTGCCTGACATGTAAAAGCTGCCACAGTCGTCTCTGAGAATGGCATGCAGCCTGGAGTGTTGTGGGATTCAACGGGGAAGAAATGACAGAGAGTCTTCCCCGGGGACCTTATTCCAGACCAGCCGAAGGTGCACCCCTGCGGCCTGCAGATCCCTGGGTCCCCAGCACCGCACGTGACACTGTCTTCTTGGATTGGGCTGGGGTTTTCGTTTGTTTCGTTGTCGCTGTTGTTTTCCTAAAGAACTGTCCCTCTGGCCACCTGTCTCTTGGGAGGCCTTGTAGCAGAGCCTGTTCCAGCCCCAGGGACCCTGCTGACCCTCCCTTCCCAACAGCTGTGAGGGAAGCAGCAGCACACGGAGCTACAGAGACCACATGCGGAGAGCAGGGAGCTGCCCTACTCATGAGGCAGCTGTTGCCAGATTCCTTGATGCTGCTGAGCCCCAGCTTCACAGCTGGGAAATGAGGACATTTTTACCTCCAAGGGACTGCTTCAAGGGCAGCAGGAGGGTCAGGGGACTTTATAGATACCAGACAGCATCTGACCTATTGGGGCACTGGATACTAAGGCCCGTCTCCTCCTTCCTCTGTGGCCCTTCTTGCCATCCTCATTTACTGGCAGCAAAAACTCCCCTTAGTGTCCACTTTGACCATGGGTCAGCAGTCAACCTGGCTGACCGCAGCCCCTTTATCTCTCATGAATGACACACAGCCCCTTTCCCCATGCTCCTTGCTGGCTAATAAAAGCAAGTCAACCAGGGAAACTGTCAAGACAAATTGATAAAGAAAATATATATACACAACAGAATATTACTCAGCCATAAAGAAGAATAAAATCATCTCATTTACAGGAAAACAGATGGAACTTGAGACCATCGGGCTAAGTAAAATAAACCAGACTCAAAAAGTTAGATATCACAACTTTCCTCTTATATGAGAAACCTAAACTATAAATCAATAAACAAGCAAGTAAACAGATGATAGGCAATTAGAAGGTAGGCTCTTGCAGATGGGAAGGCCATCTGTGAGGTGGGGATGGGCAAAGGGATTGAAAATGATCAAGATATGTTACATGCATGTACCAGTTTCCCAAAATGAACATCACTACTCTGTATAACAAAGATGCACTAATAAAAAAGAGAGAAACAGAACAAAGCTGTGATAATTTTTTTAAAAAGACTCCCCAAAGCCAAGGTGAGCAGCATTTGCCAAATGCCAATCAAGAAGGAATTAGTATCTGTGAGAAGCTGAGTCAGGCATAAAAGATGATCTAAGAAGACCAATCTGATGGCACAAGCTCACCGCCAAGCCTCGCTCTCTGTCCTGCCAGAGTCAGTTCTTGGGGCAAGGTCACAGAGGCTGCGTGTTAAATGCATTGCAGCGGTGCTGGGGGTGGGGTCTGGTATCTGAAATGTCAGCTCTCACATAATCATATAGGAATTTGAGGCCCTCATTCAAATGCCACGTCATTCTCTTCTTGTGGGGAATTTGGGTTTTGTTTTCCCTAAAGATATCCACGAGTCTTTTTTTCTCTCCCTTTCACGTGCCTGATTTAATTAGAACATCAGGGCCTGAGAACCCGAATTCCCCAGTAACCCTCCCATAACAAGTCAGAAGTCCAGAAAGTGGGGCTTTGAGGATAAGACTGGGATTCAAGAATCCAGAGGGGTTGCAAGTTAGGAAGACGAGGGCCCGGAGATCCATCTATTCAAAATCAGAGGCTGTGATCTCCCCAAGAGATCCCTGGGCCCAACCCACACCCAGAGACTAGAGGGCTCTGGGAAAGCTGGGAAGCAAATCCTCTGAGTGATCCAATCCGGAGAGGCCAAGCTGAGAGCTCCTTAGCTGG